ATGGTCCATAAACCTTAGCTAAGGCGTTCTAAATAGAATTAGCTTCAGGTAAGATATTTTAATAACACCACATGAATCAGATAGAGGATCAAGTCATCTGACCCTGTAATATGCTGTAATCTTTCATAGTAAGAAGTAGAGTCAGAAAGGCTGAATAATTTATCTAGATAAAAAAGAGGTGAAGCTGCAGTTAAAAACCTAAGTGTGAAGGCTGGCAGGTAGTGTGGTGGTTAAGGGTGGTGGACTCCCACATGGCCGACTGCAGTTTAAGTCCCGGACCTGGCAGTTTGCTGTCTCACTTTCTCTCTCTCTCTCTGGCCCTCTATAAAATAAATAAATAAATAAAGTTAAATAAAATAATTCTTAAAAAAAATCCTAATTGTATATTAAACTGGTAGCATACTCTACAATTTTTGGACATATTTTGTTATATTTCTGCACTTCCAGGAATGTGGGAGGACAGTTACTATTATAACTAAGTTTGCATTTAATAGATGATGGAAATTGAAGCCCATAGAAATGAATTCACCTGCCTCGGATCAAATAGACAATTAGACCCATTTGAGCTTATTTTATTTTATTTTATTTTATTTTATTTATTTTTTTGGAGAGGTTTTCACTATAGGGAGCGTGCGCTCACCAGAGAGAGAGAGAGATAGAGAGACAGAAGGCGAGAAATCACCCCCCACGGGGGATCGTTACGCCGCAATCCCTTCTCCTCCATTCTCTTCTTGGGATCTTGGGCCTGCACGCACACGCACCCAGCGTGAGTTTTAAGCCACCGGGTCCAGTACGCGAACCGTAGTCGACTACGGAAGACGTTGAAGTTGGAGTCAGGATACATAGCCATTACGCTAACTGCTGGTTCCTTCTTTTATTTTTTATGGCTTCAGTGATTCAACTTCTCCAACTGGAAAACTATATTGCTATTGACACGGACCATTTCCTCACCTCAGAACCAGGAACACAGTGGTCCCGCCACACGACTCAGACCCATCCCCATCCTGAGAGTAAACAGAACTGTTAGCATTTTCTCCACTCTACTGGAGGTGCCATGGCCTTCAGAGGTCTTTTCCTTGGGGCCTTTCCTTGTACCATTCCATGCTGAGTCAGTTGCTATCTGAAGAGTCTTCAGTAAGGAAAGTGGCCTACCATCCCCAGGCTTGTTGAGGGACAGAGGAAAAGTAGCATGTTGATGCTTTTCCCCTACCTCTATACATCTTTTGTTTTTACAGTCTGGCTTTCCCCCTGCCTAGGATGTCAGGACAATGATGGCTGAGACCAATCGGAGTTCTTGAGTCCAGAGGGGAGAGAACAAACTTGGCCTCAGTAATCAGAAGAGTTATCCTAGGCCACCCCAATCTGAGTGATGTCTTCCTGGACTTTGCCCAGGCTCGGGGGAATGAGTTGGGGCAGTGCCCTGAGTTCAGGCTTAGCCAGTTTGCTTGGGCGCTGAGGTCTAGGAAGGATTCTGGTGAATCTTCCGTGAGAACATGATTGCCTTAGGACCCTTTTCTCTTTCCTTTCTTGGCCTCTTATTCTCTTCTCCACTCAGTAATCAATACCTTGAGCTCTGGGATCTTGTAATGTATTTTTCGTTGCTCAAAAAGAGAGAATTCTATGTAATATAAACTTCATGAGATTGTCCTTCTATGGCTATCTGTATTTTATTTGACGAAAAAAGTAGTTAAGACCATTAATGACTATTAGGCTGGGCTAGGTTATGTTGAAGTAAGAAATACACCTCCAAAATTCAATAGCTAAGCATAAAAAAGCTTTAGTCTCACCCACATCATAGTTTGATGCACGTCAAGAGGCTTTCCTGTTTGGCTCTTCTCCAGAAGATATTCAGGTAGTGGGACTGCTTCAACTTGCAGTAGTATCATCAGAGTCCTTTGTTTCTAGAAGTTCAGATGAGAAAACAGGTGGGGACAACACATTGCTCTGTCTCAAACATAAAGTATTTAATATGACACCTACTGAATGTTTACTTAACTCCCATCGATGAACATTAAGTTAGATAACCATACCTATGTTAGGGGGCACTGACTTTTTTCTACTATAATGATTGCTATTTTATAAGCAACAACGGTGTTCTTTGTTGGTTTTACATTTTAACATTCCACAAAAGAAGAATGTGGGAGATAGACCATTTGGGCTTGAATTCTGGGTCTATTACCAATTTCTAGATGTGTGATCTTGAGCCAATTTATTCACTCCTCTCACCGCCTCAGTTACTTCATGCATGAGATAGTATTATCTGGGTCCAGATGGTGATGTAGTGGTAACATGACTGGACACACTTGAGAAATGTCCTTAGTTTCATACCAGGACCTCCTTGAACATGCCAGGCACATGTGTGTACACCTGTGCACTAGACTGGCTGAAGACTGGTGGCAGAGTGCAGCATGACAGACCCTGTTGGGGATGCCTGTCTCTCTGTCTCTATCTCTTTCTCTGTAGCTTTCTTTCATGAAAGACATAAACAAAAAAATAAAATAAAATAATACATACTTGTAGGGCTATGACAACTGAATGATTTAGTTAATACATATAAAAAAAGAGTGAGGGCAGTGTCTGGAACATTCCACTAAATAAGTGGAAATGATTATTTTCACTATTTTGCTGATAAAAAGCCTGAGAATTAGATTCCCCAGTGTCTGTGAACAAGATAAGGTTGGGCTACACAATCAATGTGACTCATCAAATCAGCAATTTCATCATTTTTATCTTTCATAGAAATCCAGAGAAAGCATACTTGTTAAGTGTGTTTGATGCTGTGCTAGTCACTACATGTATTTTCTCAGTTATTTCTTCTGAAAAAGAGAACTGAAACTCAGAGAAACAAACTAATATGCTCTGTATTGAGAAGCTCGTGGGATTTAACCATATTCATTCTATTTTGAAAATTGTATTTCACTCTTGAATTTTAAATAAAAATCTTGCTGGTGGAAAATACTGTCATCTTAGGAGAAATATATTCTAAGACATTCCACTAAGCAGTCTCCTCATTCCAGCAATTCTAAAATGAATGTCTGTTCCTGCCATCCTAGGCCTCTTCAAAGCTCAGATCAAAATGGAGAATTTTCCCTCTATCCCTGCAAATGTGAAGATTATGTATTCCCAGTTCCCCAAATGCCATCACAGATAGCCTTTTTAGAAAGCAAACCATGGCATCCCAGAACGAAGGTAAGCAGACTGCCTTCAGCTCCTTTAGGGTGTCAGGGGAGAAGATTTAAGGCCCTGCCTCACTGTGCCCACAAACCAGTCACAATCTCACATCTCTTTCCACGAGTCAACTTTGCAAGTGTGCTTTTCCATACAGATGGAAAAAGAAGTTCTGACAGCGGGTATCCCTTAGACACAGGGAAGTAGGAAGGGGACAATGAGCCTAACATGGGCTTATGAGACCCAATTTGGAAACTGGATGAGAGAAGGTAGGAGTCACAATGGCACTTCCAAGGCCATTTTTCTAAGATCCTGAGCAAATTCTTGCTTCTACATCTTTTGCATTTATTGTAAGGTACTCCTGAAGATACCTTGTCTTTGGTCTCATGGCCTTCTAAGAAATCTCCATTTTTAGGGTCTTTGCAGCCAGAAAGAGGATGCAACACCACTTAACCACTATGACCTAAAAGTCTGGCATCTTGGGAATTTTCTCAGCCTGACCCCAGCCATTTGAGATTTCCATAGGCACTTACTTCTTAGTTATAGGACATTTGGGAGTTGTTAGTTATATTGCTGCATAACAAACTGTTAGTTATATTGCTATATAACCAATTACCCTAAAAGTTAGTGGCTTCAAACAACAAATTCACTATCTCACAGTTTACGTGGGTTGAGATTTCAGGAGTAGCTTAGCCGAATGGCTGCTCTGGCCTGGTATCCTCATAGGACTACAATGAAGATGTTCATTGGGCAGGGGGACCAACAGTTGGTGTAATGGCTATGTCACTTGACTCCCATGTAGTGAACCACGGTTTAAGTCCCAGAACCGGTGGCTTGAACTCACACCAAGAACGTGTGCATGCATGCACAAGATCCTAAGAGGAGAATGAAGGAGAAGGGATTGAGGCATGGCCATCCCCCTTGTGGGTTGATTTCTCACTTTCTGTCTCTCTCTGTCTTTCTGGTGAGCATACTCACCCTGTAGCAAAAACTTCTCAAAAAAAAAAAAAAAAAAAAAAAAAAAAAAAAAAAAAAGGATGTTCATTGGGCTATATTCACCCAGGTGATTGAGTGGAGTTGGAGGATCTGCTTCTAAGATGGCTCCCTCACCTGACTGGAAAGTCAACACTGGCTTTTGGTAGGAGTCCTTAGTTCATTGCCATTTGGATTTTGTTTTTGCCACAGGATGCATGGTCTTGCCAGAGAAAGGGAAAGTAAGAAATCACCCACAAGATGACCATGTCACAATCCCTTCTCCTCCATTCCCTCTTAGGAGTTGGGGCAGGCATGCACATGTACATGGCATGATTTCCAAACTCCTGGGTCCAGGACTTGGACTACAGTTGGCCATGTAGGAATCCAGCACTTTAACTATCATACCACCTGCTGGTCCCAGCCATTTGGATGTTAATTTTTTTTTTCTTAGTTTATGATAGAGCATGTGTGTGTGCATGTGAGAATGAAGAGAGAGAGACAGAGAGAGATGAGCACCTTCCTCACTGTCTGGTCACACCATAAGCCCCTTCCTCTATTCCCCCATTCCATCAGATGTAGGGAACTTGCACATGGTCCTGGTATGTTTCAGGAAGACTGGGCTGGGGATTCAAACTGTAGTCACCATGTGGGATTCAGCTTCTCTTAAGTAATGCATTATCACTGACCATGAACTTAGCCCTTTTTTCAGAAAAGCTGCTTGAGAGGTTTTGCAAGGGTTGCTGGTGGTGAAATCCAGTGCCATCCATTCGTTGGTTTGGCGTTTTTTTGTTTGTTTGTTCGTTTTTTGTTTTTTAGCAAAGAGTTCAGCTTTTTATTGAATACATTACAAAAGAGATTTAGTCAAAAAGATCGAAGCCTATGTCATCATTCGATTCTTCAGATTTTTCTTTCTGTGCTCCTACTTTCTTCTCTTCAGCTGGGGCTGCAGCAGCTGTGGGGGCTGGACCTCTAGCAGGTGCAGCCCCAGCTGCTGGTGCAGGTTCATCTGCCCCTATGCTGCAGATGAGGCTCCCGATGTTGACATTGGCCAGGGCCTTCGCAAACAAGCCAGGCTGGAAAGGTTCCACATTTACACTAGCTGCTTTAGTGAGGGCATTGATCTTATCCTCGTCGTCGTGAAGGATGAAGGCTGAGTAGATGCAGGTGAGCTTGGAAACGGAAGCCATGGTGAGGACAGGCGCGGAGTGGGTACTTCCAGACACGGTGCCAGTCGCCGGATGAAGTGAGGGCCTCACCCCAACGTGGCCTTAGCTTCCTTGGAAGAACTGAGCACCTTGGCGGCAGCGGAGCAAAGGGCAGTTTGGTGGCTTTTGACCCTTAGGCCCCTGAGCCCAAATGAAGTACAATCCTTTTGTGACTTCTGACCAAAATAAGAACCATAAAAGCCATTTCAGTGCACCTTCCCACATCCGCAGGAAGATTATGAATTCCCCCCTTTCCAAAGAGCTGATGCAGAAGTACAATGTGCGATCTATGCCCATCCGAAAGAATAATGGAGTTCAGGTTGTGCGAGGACACTATGAAGGTCAGGAAATTGGCAAAGCAGTCCAAGTTTACAGGAAGAAATACGTCATCTATACTGAGCGGGTGCAGTGGGAAAAGGCTAGTGGCACAACTGTTCATGTGGGCATTCCCCCCAGCAAGGTGGTTATCACTAGACTGAAACTGAACAAAGACCACAAAAAGATCCTTCAACAGAAAGCCAAGTCTCTCCAAGTAGGAAAGGAAAAGGGCAAATATAAGGAAAAAACAATTGAGAAGATGCAGGAGTAAAATAATCTTATATACAGATCTTATTAAAAACTGCTAAAAATGAGGGACCTATTTTTTTTTCTTAGTTTATGATAGAGCATGTATGTGTGCATGTGAGAATGAAGAGAGAGAGAGAGAGATGAGATGAGCACCCTCCTCACCGTCTGGTCACACCATAAGCCCCTTCTTCTATTCCCCCATTCCATCAGATGTAGGGAACTTGCACATGGTCCTGGTATGTTTCAGGAAGACTGGGCTGGGGATTCAAACTGTAGTCACCATGTGGGATTCAGCTTCTCTTAAGTAATGCATTATCACTGACCATGAACTTAGCCCTTTTTTCAGAAAAGCTGCTTGAGAGGTTTTGCAAGGGTTGCTGGTGGTGAAATCCAGTGCCATCCATTCGTTGGTTTGGCGTTTTTTTGTTTGTTTGTTTGTTTGTTTGTTTTTAGCAAAGAGTTCAGCTTTTTATTGAATACATTACAAAAGAGATTTAGTCAAAAAGATCGAAGCCCATGTCATCATTCGATTCTTCAGATTTTTCTTTCTGTGCTCCTACTTTCTTCTCTTCAGCTGGGGCTGCAGCAGCTGTGGGGGCTGGACTTCCAGCAGGTGCAGCCCCAGCTGCTGGTGCAGGTTCATCTGCCCCTACGCTGCAGATGAGGCTCCCG